AGTGATCGAATTGGAGAATGATGTCTGAATCAAAGTTGTAGCCAGATGAGTTAGCTTTCCAACGCATTTTGAATCGCCTCAATCGGATATCGGAATACAAAGTTATGATAAAAACACTGAAAGAAGGTGCAGCTGCCTGTTTAAAACAAGAAATTCCGTTACATAGTCCGTTATATTGAGACCTATTTTTGGCATAGAAAGTGATCGAATTGGAGAATGATGTCTGAATCAAAGTTGTAGCCAGATGAGTTAGCTTTCCAACGCATTTTGAATCGCCTCAATCGGATATCGGAATACAAAGTTATGATAAAAACACTGAAAGAAGGTGCAGCTGCCTGTTTAAAACAAGAAATTCCGTTACATAGTCCGTTATATTGAGACCTATTTTTGGCATAGAAAGTGATCGAATTGGAGAATGATGTCTGAATCAAAGTTGTAGCCAGATGAGTTAGCTTTCCAACGCATTTTGAATCGCCTCAATCGGATATCGGAATACAAAGTTATGATAAAAACACTGAAAGAAGGTGCAGCTGCCTGTTTAAAACAAGAAATTCCGTTACATAGTCCGTTATATTGAGACCTATTTTTGGCATAGAAAGTGATCGAATTGGAGAATGATGTCTGAATCAAAGTTGTAGCCAGATGAGTTAGCTTTCCAACGCATTTTGAATCGCCTCAATCGGATATCGGAATACAAAGTTATGATAAAAACACTGAAAGAAGGTGCAGCTGCCTGTTTAAAACAAGAAATTCCGTTACATAGTCCGTTATATTGAGACCTATTTTTGGCATAGAAAGTGATCGAATTGGAGAATGATGTCTGAATCAAAGTTGTAGCCAGATGAGTTAGCTTTCCAACGCATTTTGAATCGCCTCAATCGAACATCGGAATACAAAGTTATGATAAAAACACTGAAGGAAGGTGCAGCTGCATGTTTAAAACAAGAAATTCCGTTACATAATCCGTTAAAACAACAAATTCCGTTAGATAGACACTTTTTATATATAGAAAGATATATATATATACTAGTTTTATTTTTAAATTTGTTTAACCTACTTAACTTACTCATAAAATCATGAAATTTGGCAGTAAAGTACCTAACCCTATAGGTAAGGTCATATTAAAATTTTAGGGTTGAACTCCTTCGATTGTTAGGTCAAATGATACAATGAAATGGACTACTTGACGAAAACGCGATTCACCGTCGCAGTTTAGAAAAAAATTTAGAATAAAATCATTAGACATGAAGGTAATTCGAGTTTCTATGGACAGGGAACTCATAGGGCTTTCAGTCCTTTTTGATTTCAAGTTGAAATTCATATTATAATTCAGGATATCACATTTTTGATGGCTAGAACAAGTCTGAAATTTCACAAGGACAGCAACTAATGCAAATGCTTTTACAAAGTTAACAGTTAAATGAAATACTAAAGTTGTTGGTCCATTTTAATCCGTAAAGAATCAAGATAAAACATAATTTACATAGGGTAATAGTCACTGCCATCCGCCATAACGCCTTCCGCCAAGCTAGTCAATCTGAAATGTATAATTAGAGTGAGCATTTCAAAGAATCACTTAGTAGTAGGCACACACGCTATCAAGACAATTATGTACAAACTCTAACATAACATGCAAAAGTCGTATTTCAAAGTAAATCGGTGTTCAACATACTTTAATTCTAGTGATTACCTTCAATCACCATTAATCATAGTGGTTACCTTCAATTACAAATAATCGTAGTGATTACCTTCAACCACAAATAATTTCCACAAAGCAATTAACGATTACGTATATGCTAGCATATAAATTTCTCAAAAGCGTAAACAACTTGTGTATGGGATATGATACTATCTTAAGATCTTTAGAAAATTTGCTAGAGTTGAGTCGTATATGAAATTTCCAATTATACTATCACAAAAAAGAAAATCAGCAAGCTTGCCTTTTTGCTTTCTTCAAACGTATGTTAGGAATGGCCGTGCATGGGAAATAAAAAAGTTATGCTCTCTTGTTACTAAAAGCCGAACTAGTAAATTAGGAAAAAGGAAACAATGTATAAAGAAGTTGCAGTGGCGTGGCATGTAATCCATAAATATACATGTATATTCCCATGAAACCATCCATCATTGCTTAGAGGAATAGTAGGAGAGTTAAATGAGAAAGTGGTTGAGGAAGTTAAAAGAAGTGGGGGGCTAACGTAGACATCATATGACTTAGTGGAAAATATATACATGTTTCTTGAGATTGCCAAACAAGGTGAATTATTTAAATTTTGAAACAAACTCAAGTATTGTTTAATAGTAATATATTTTAAAAGTTATGCTTAATAAAAATAATTTTGGATTGAGCATTATATAGTTGCCAAATTAAATCGCCGTCCGTTACTTTAAAATAAATACACTAAATCATGGTTTTTAAAAGACTAAAAATAACCCATCAAGTTAATATAACATGGGTTCTCAAAATAATGAGACTAAGCTGAAATAATTAGACCGTCATATAAAAAAAATTGTTAGGCAACATACTTTAAAAACTATGGTGACCAAATAAAAACTTAAAATTTTAAGGGTGTTATAGCGACGCGACAAGTAAAAATTTCCTTAAAAGAGTTCAAAATTTTTTGGTAGCTACAATATCAATACTGGAGAGACATGTGTAATGTATTAGAATATTGAACTTTAAAAGGAAAATAATATTTCAATTCTACTTGGTGGATGGATTGTCATAGAACTCTCAGTTTCCCATTCTAAGAAAATCATTTCAACTCCTTTCGTTACATAGCATGGCCCCTATTTGATTTAGATAAAAATCAAAGTAATTTAGTAGATTTAGATAAAAGTTAATGGTATTATGGTTGAAAAGATATGAGACATATGAAATGCGTAATTAAAATTAAATATTAACTTTGATTTAAATTTTAATCAATTTTTGTAGCGAAATCAAACAGAGATTGTATTCAATATTTTTAATAATTTTAAAATTATTATGTACTATATACAAACATTCAAGGTTAAATATGGAGTTTTAAAATATTACAAGGCCGTTATCGAAATTATTTCTCTCTCAGTAGGAATTTTATGTAGGGTGGACCACATTTTAATTACATTAAAGATATTAATTAACCTTTCAAGTTTATTTTCAATACTATTTATTTGCACCAAAATCTATTCTTTTTGGTATTGAACAAATTTTTCTTCCCTTTGTGTCCCTTTTTTTAATTATAAAAACAAATTTTAATTATTATTATTATTATGTGCATTTGTAATTTTTAATCATGTAATCAATAATAATTAAAATTAAAATAAAAGTACTTAATAAATTTAAGAAGGTAACAAACACGGTTATTTAAATTTGTGATATCTGCATTAAGTGTACTACATTTTAAAACTTTATTAGCGAATTCAATATTTTTGTTAACTAAACTTAATTATTTACTTAGTAATTTATGTTGTAATAAAATAAATATTGTTCATTTAGTGTAACTTTTGGTATTTAATTCATGTTTGGGTCCATTTTTAAAAATTCATTTTTTTCAATACTAATTTTTAATCACATTGTTCAATAAAATAATTTTACACGTAAATACAAAATTATTCTTTCTTTTTAATCACATATTTTTCAAAAAAAATATTATTTCAAAATACATCTTACCACAAAAATGGGGGTCAAATAGATTGGATACGATTTTTACTCCTTGTCTGGGCCAGCTTTTTCAGTTGATTATTAGTGATTTTTCTACCGTTGAATGGTGCACCGGTACAAAAATCAAAGGAAGCTGCTGACTTCTGTGTCACAATTGTAGAGGAAAACGGTTTTTTCTACCGTTGAATGGTGCAACGGTACAAAAATCAAAGGAAGCTATTGTGTTTGTATCACAATTGTCAGAGGAAAACGGATAGAAAATCAAATTTTAACTTTCAAAATCAGGACCAGACATCCTCTTAATTTGATTTAAAATTTGCATAAAAATAATGCAAAAATTACCTCGTGCATGTATGGGAGATGGGCTAAGAAGAATCAAAATTGTATGAGCATCCTCAATGTTATCAAACAATAATTGAAAAATTAGAAAATAAAATAGTCAGATGGCCCTAGCTATGGAACTTTTGGCCTCTACAAGACGCTGTTTTGTACTTTTTATGGCAACCAGGTATTTAACGCATACACATACATGTGAGAGAGAGAGTGAGGATGGAAAAAGTAGACGTAAACGTATCACTGAAAACTGGGTGAGGCAGGTAAGGTCAAGTCCCCATCAGTTTCGGCCCATTGTGCCGGGAAACCCGGACTACAGTCCCCCACCTTGTCTGTCTAGTTATTCTGAAGTTAATGTTTGGTGCACATTTTTGCTTCAAGAATGCATTTTTTTGATTGATGTGATGAAAAATATGTGGTTTAAAAAGAAGAAAAATTTATTGACGTGATAAAAAAATATTATTTTATTGAAAAATATGTGCTTGAAAATGAGTAGAAAAATGAGAATGAAAAAAATAATGTGACTCAAACAAGAGTTGAAATTAAATTATATATATATTTTTCATTATCTCCATTAATTAGCCCTTAACATATGATCAAACCGTGCCAGTTTGCTTTGCCCTTGTTTGAGCCCCATTATTTGGCAAAAAAATGTATTTTTGAATAGTGAATTGATGAAAAATGTGTGGTTAAAAATTAAGAATTTTTTTTTTGAATTTACGTATAATATTATTTTATTGAAGATTATGTGATTAAAAAATATATATATTTTTTGAAAATAATGAGAATTTATAATCTCCAAAAAATTCATATACAAACCAAGACCCTTTATAATACACAAAACATGATAATTTTAATTTGATCAACGCTATCTAGCATCGATATTGCTACAACACTAATTTAGGTGGCTTGACATGATAAGCTCTTAAGTGAGTCATTTTACTACACATCTTTCACATTAATGTCACTTAGACGAATATTTTAATATAAGTGGGGTTAAATATTAGTTAGGCTTTTAACTTTTTTCATGTGGTGGGGTGAGGGTGAAATCTATGTTGTCATAGTCGAGGTCTTTAACAGAGTAGTCACATCAAAGGTCAGTTTTGCAGAAATAGGAAATGCAGCAGAGGGAAAAGAAAAGGAGCCAGAGAAATTTGACAGATCATGGTTGCAGAGAACTGGGCTAAAATGGAATTTCCCCCCATTATATTATTATTACAAATCTTGCTATATGCATACATACCATTTTTGTGCAGACATTAGACAACCACCTGCGTGTAAATGTCAGCACATTCCCTTCCCTTGACTACTTCAGAATCCCAACTTCAATAAAGAGCTTTTCAAAATTTTCACTTCTCCATTTTCTCAAAGGGCTGTTCTTTCACAATAGATTTGCATTCCTTTGGAAAACAGAGATGGGCTGTGGCAAAAAATGGGTTTCTTGAACAGTTGAATTCTAGTGTAAGATTTTTCTATCTAACAGCTTTCTTGGAATTATATGCTGCCGATGATTATTTTTCTCTTTCTGCTGAATGTGCTGCGTGTTTTTGTGTGTGTATACAGTCTACTTATGTGCAAATGTCTGTTGAAAAGGGTTGTGATGTAAACTAGAAAGATGTGAACTCTCGATGTTGGAATTGAATTCTTGTGTAATTTTGCTCTCGCCTCATGAAACTTGGTCTAGGCATTTTGAGCCACTCGTGACTGGCCAGTTTTTTGGTGGAAAACTTCTCTTTCACTAATAAGAGCATAATTATGATGTGAATTTGTAAAGAAAAATGTAAAAAGTAAGGAGAGCTTGTTGGCCGAGCCGAGCCGAGCCGAGCCCAAATTTCTTGAGACTAGTTTCCCATCCCATTTAACACCCCTAATGCTTATCTTCATGCTAGGCGAGCTGAGAATGAGCTCGATTCACGAGCCAATATGCAAGCCACTCGAATTTGTAAAGAAAACTGTGAAAAGTAAGGAGAGCTTGTTGGCCGAACCGAGCCCAAATTCCTTGAGACTAGTTGCCCATCCCATTTCACACCCCTAATGCATCTTCATGCTAGGCGAGCTGAGAATGAGCTCGATTCACGAGCCAATATGCGAGCCACTAGTGGCTCGCATGGATAAATTGCTCGTCCATAGCTCACCGGAGGCGAGAGCCGAGTCGGCGAACGGTTTGTCCCATTTTCCACCCTTACCCTTATGACCACCACTATAACTATAGGGCCTGTTTGGTACCAATTAAAATCAGATTTTAATCAAAGTCAAAGTCAAACAATCAATATTAACCACATTTTTCATGGATCTCACAACTTTTCAACCACATATTTCAAAAACTTCTATCACAATCTACTAAAAATCTAAGTTTAATCCTCACCAAACACCCTCTAAATGAAATCCCTCTGAAATCAATCCCATTAAGGCGTGTTTTATATACAGTACTGGTACTGAGCATGACATGATAACAAACAATATTTTAAGAAAATAGATGGTGGGGTACTTTTAAAATTGACTCAGTCAAAGTGCCTTTCAACTTCTTCATATTTTCACAATAGCTTATTTGATGAAAAAAAGACAAAAATGCCCTTAAGTATATAAAACAATTACAAAATATTGTTTTGTTTAAAAGACAATACTACCATTTAGTTAACAAATAAAAACCAAATACTCCATACCTAAAATATCAAAATCAACTAAGTTTTGTTATCTGTTTATTTCAATGCAGATAAAAACTCTCTCATCTTTCATTTGCTTCAATCTTAAAATCTGAAAAATTTATCGGACGCTGAAGCATGAAATTTTTTTTATATCTATCACTTCAAATCGGTAAGTATATTACGCATGTTTAATTTCGTTAAACCACTATACAACAATCAAATCCTCATTTGTAAATTCATTGTCATTCTTGCTCTCGTGAACTACCGACGGAATTCTGTGTGTAACAGTGAGATCACAATGATGAACAACTGGAACGGGAATAACAACATCATCCTCACGAGCTATCTCCACTGTGTCCCAAAAATCATTGGCATTGTGATCCCCTCCATCCGATTCTTCGTATTCAATTTCGACGACATCTTTCCTCACTAAAGTCACCCAGAGAGGAGTCGTGTACATTTTGTTCAATTCAAATAGAGAATCCACTTCTTCATCACAAGTCACCTTTATAGGTGGAATCGAAATAGATGAATCATCCTTAAATCGAAATCTCAGCCATATCGTACTGAGAGGGGACGACATTCAGCTTATTTTGTAAATTATGGTATATTCTCGTATATGTTGTACTCTCCGTTATGTAAATTAGAATAACACTACGTTTATCGGTTGTCCATCTCAATACCTATTAATTTTTCTCATCCAATTCGAAATCACCAAAGAAACAAACTGACATTACAATCATATCTGCAAAACGTAACATAATTTTTTTTTTAAAAATACATAGTCGAAAATTCGACTTTTAACAGGAGTTTATATAAAAAAAAGGCGAAACAACCGGTTTAACTCGGCCATAACCGTTTAAAAACAACCGGCTGTTTGTTTAAGCAGTCATCCGGCTGTTTTTCACTAGATCCATTTCGTCTGAATGACGCAGATAATCAATTCCATATCGTACTGAGAGGGGACAACATTCAGCTTATTTTGTAAATTATGGTATATTCTCGTATATGTTGTACTCTCCGTTATGTAAATTAGAATAACACTACGTTTATCGGTTGTCCATCTCAATACCTATTAATTTGTCTCATCCAATTCGAAATCACCAAAGAAACAAACTGACATTACAATCATATCTGCAAAACGTAACATAATTTTTTTTTTTAAAATACATAGTCGAAAATTCGACTTTTAACAGGAGTTTATAAAAAAAAAAAGGCGAAACAACCGGTTTAACTCGGCCATAACCGTTTAAAAACAACCGGCTGTTTGTTTAAACAGTCATCCGACTGTTTTTCACCAGATTCATTTCGTCTGAATGACGCAGATAATTTTTTTTCTCATTCATGTTTAAAAAAATTATAGACATTAACTATCTACTTCGAAATAAATTTAAAGATCAAAACGTATACTGATTTAACGAAAACGAAATTGAACATGCGTAAATATACTTACCGATTCAAAATGATTGATATAAAAAAATTTCTGGCTTCAACGTTCGATAAATTTTTCAAATTTTAAGGTTGAAGCAGATGAGAGATGAGAGAATCTTATCTGTGTTGAAATAAACAGATAACAAAAGTTAATTGATTTTAAAATTTTAGGTAGGGAGTGTTTGATTTTTATTTGTTAACTAGATAGTAATATTGTCTTTTAAACAAAACAATATTTTTGTAATTGTTTTATATACTTAAGGGCGTTTCGTCTTTTTCCATCAAATAGGCCATTGTGAAAATATGAAGAAGTTGAAAAGTCAAAATTGAAATTATTTTAAAAGTACCCTTGGTTTTATTGGGAGATAACTGAACCGTAAAAGCATTATGCTTGTGTGGATCAATGTTCTTCCTTTACTACCAATGCCAAGATCAATTCATATATTCATAAAAACTTAAACCATGATCAAATATAAACATGGCGCCGCATTTTTCTTTATCTTTCTTTTAATATTAGCAGTTTAATGAATCTTTAGCAGATGTAAGAATGCCCTCTATTTTTCTTGACCCAAATCATAAACATTGAAAATCTAGTGCAGTTATAATCTTAGGGTCTTCGACATTCCTCTTACCTCATGTTCATTGTAGAATGAACTTAATTCACAGAGTGTCCTCTCGAACTCTTGGTTATGAGAATAATTTATCCAGAGCTCTATACGTACTAAAATTTTGTTTCAACCGTGCCTCATGGAAAACGACGTGACACACATTTCTGCCGGTTGAATCTTTTTAAAAGAGTGGATGCAGCGTTAAGAACTATAATAATGTTGTCTAATGCAAATTTGTTTTTAAATTAGTGAAACTTCTAATCTCTTGTATTTTATTTAGATGCACTATGAAGATATTGAGGCAATGGGTAGAGGTGTTTGCACCTGGAAATGAAGGAAAGGCAACCCTGGCTACCTGAAGAGGATTTCTCTATTGCGTGCTTATGTGAAGCAATATGGCCTAAGATTGCGGTACCTCTTCTCAGAGCGCATGAACAATTTTTTCAATAGGGACTACAAATCTTGCTTGGAAATGGAAAAACTTTCTTAAACCTGGGAGCAGGAAAGGTTCGCTTACGGAAGAGGAGCAGCATCTTGTTATCCATCTTCAGGCCAAACAGAGCAACAGACGGTAGCAAATTGCTGCTGAAGTTTCTTGTCGGACTGCTAAAAGACTCTGGAAGTGGTGGGAAGTATTTAAAGGAAAACAGCAGAGGGAACATAAGGAGACAAGGTAATCAATCCAATTGAAGAGGGCAAATACGATCGCATTTTACTACCTTTGCTGAGAAGCTCATAAAAGAACGTCCTGCACAAATTCTAATGTCTACATCCAACGGTGGGTTTCTTCAAACAGATCCGCCTGCTCCTTCACCGCCAAATTTACTTCCTCCATGGCTAGTTAGTTCTGGCACAACCTCAACTTTTAGGCCACCATCACCATCTGTGACCTTAAGTCTCTCACCGTCCACGGTGCCACCTGCACCCACAATCCCCTGGCTGCAAACTGATCGAGTTCCTGATAATACTTCATATTCTTTGAGCAGTTACCCCTCTCTCGGGATTGCTCCATTGGTTGGAGAGAATCCCATAGTTTCCGAACTCGTGGAATGCTGTCGGGAATTAGAAGACGAACGTCGTACTTGGGCAGCACATAAGAAAGAAGCTGCCTGGAGATTGAAAAGGATCGAGTTGCAGTTGGAGTCTGAGAAAGCATGCCGGAGAAAGGAGAAAATGGAGGAAATAGAAGCAAAGGTGAAAGCTCTTAGGGAAGAGCAGAAGACTACTCTTGATCGAATTGAAGCTGAATATAGAGAACAATTAGTGGGATTGAGGAGGGAAGCAGAAGCCAAAGAACAGAAATTAGCTGAACAGTGGGCTGCAAAGCACATGCGTCTCACCAAGTTTCTTGAGCAGACAGGCTATAGATCTATCAGTTCTGAGCCTAATGGCCGGTAAAGTTTTCTCCTAGCCGTGAAAAGCTTCAGTGGACGCCTTCATATTGATACATGCTATTTTTGGACGTTGTGGAATAACTTCATCTTTAGTACGTTGGTCATGCAGCAACACAATCTCTATAAAAGTCTTCTACTGTTTGCTTGAGCCTTGGATTAATCTTGCCAAACTAAATTGCAACAAGATCACAAGCTGTTTTGTACTAATCAGATGATTTACTCTCTGTGTTTTGTTCTTCAAAATATAATTGGATCTCTTTGGTTGAAGCCAAGGTATATGGATATCTTGTTTCATTGATACACTATTGTGGTGCACAAGCAGATATTCAAGAGAACGAAGGAGTATTTGCAGGCAATGAGAATCCACTTGTCTTCAAGGATTTCTGTTCTGTTTAAATGAGAACAACTCTGAGTACTTGTAACTGAACTTTTACTTTCGTCACGTTTTACTCATTACACTTTAAAATGCTTTCGAGTGTTCATTAAACTTTATTATGTTGCACTTCATTACTCACTCATCAAGTTGCTGTTCTTTTATCATCTGACGTGGACAGACAAAATCCTATGTGTCAATCAAACAGAGTTAAAAAATCCTTATCATCAAACACGTGTCAAATTGGGAGTGATTAACGGACACCACTTTTGCAAAGTTCGGTGAGTTATGGGAAACATTATGAAGTTCAATGAAATATACCATGACCACACGCGAAGTTCAATGACTGTTGAAGAATTTAACTCAAGTTTTTAGTAACTACTAGTGAGACGCAAGTGCAAGGTACATGTCATAGTGTAATTGGCTTCGTAATAGCGTAAATATAAAACAATTATTTGTGTTAAGTATTAGTTGCATCAAATTTAAGCACATGTTGCTAAATGTTTCGAGGCAACAACATAGCAAAAATGATGTATTTAGAACCATAAATTAAGCATCAGGCACAAATTTTAAACCATGTTTTGTTGTGTAAATGTTCAGTACAAGGAATGATTTAGGTGAACTCTACTAAGCAGAAAGAGTAGGAGGCAAAAACATATGAGAAGAATAGTGAAGATAACAGACAATGACAACTATGGACATCAAATGAGTGAGTTCATGTATTGAAGTTGAAATAAAGAAAAGAAAGGTTTTGGAAATTTAAGCTTAAAGAAAAATAAAGTGCTCATGGCATTGTGACATCTAAATTGGAAAAATTAATAATAAAGAACAAAAGTTTGAGAGAAACGAAGTATAAAGATAAATACTAGGATTCTGTCCATTCAAATTTCATCTAAGCAAATATTGGGTCCGAACATTACCTGTAAATGATTCTCTAATAATTTCCTTAATTCTTTTGCTACGCTCTTCCTGGCTTCAATATTCATGACATCTATTTCTTTAATTTTACGCAACAATTTAAATGTTCTCTTAAGTTTCAGGTTTCAGTCCATTCTACCACTTCAAATTATCACCAATTCCCATAGTTGCTGCACCGAATTAATATGTATCAATTGCATCCTAGCATTCAGGATATTAAATTGAGCCTTCGAAAGATGATATTAGTGGTGGGGGAGATAACAATCCTATTATGATAGCTTCAAAGAAAGGAAATTGCACCTATCCCGCCAACACAACACATCAAGGGCGGAGCAAGGTTAAAAGAATTGTGAGGGTAATTTTTACAAAATTTTAATTGTGGAGGCAAAAATTGAAAAGTATAAGATTTTTTTTTTCCTTGAAAAAATCATGGACAAAATTTGAAATTTAGTGTGGGGGTAACTAACCCCACCATCTCCACAATAAATCCGTCCCTGCAACACACCAATTGCACTATAGGACAACCTTTTAAAAAAATAGTGTCACTGCAAACATCATCCAAGTTAAGCAACAACATAACTATAAGATGTTGCAATCGAGTTTACATAACTCACGATATAGGGTCACTATTACAGATTTTGTAGATGAAAAAGATTAGGTGCAACTGGAGAATGATTTTAGACATCTAGATTAGAAGGTTTTGCTGAATATTGTTGGATGATGATGAAAATTTATAGGTTTACAATTTTCTTTTACTTTTGAGTCGATAATAGAATGATAAGTGCATTTTGTACACTTATTTGAGCATTTAAGTTAGGTATTTATATGTTATTTTGATAAATTATGGCTTAATTCTATGTCTATTGTGTTTGCTAGGTATAAATCGACATAAATGGAGGAATTGGAGAAAAATGTTGAAAAATGGCTAAATTGTAAGAGATCCAAAGTTCGGAGACTAAAGTACAAATACTCAAAAGTTGTGTCGGACCTCAAGATTAAGATTCGAGATGTGCTATGGGTCAATTGGATGAGAAAAGAAGTCAAAAAGATGAAATATAATAAAAACTATTATTATACATCAATTTCTAGCCAAAAAAGTTCTGCTCCGAATTTTTAGTTTCATATTGAGACCCATTTTTCACATAGAAAACTTTCAAATTGGAAAAAAAAAAAAATTTACTTTTAGAGGAATTGTAACCCTTTAAGTTATCTTTTCAATATACTTTGAATTACCGCAATTGGATATCGAGAGAGAAAGTTATGACAAACATACTGATGACTGTCCAGCATATGATCGTAGATCCACCAACGGTTATTTCTTGTATCTTGAAGGAAACTTGTGTAAGTGTTATGTCTTAAATTCAATCTTTGGACATAAATATTCTTAATATATATAATTGATGCATTTCATTTATAACAGATCTATGATTTAATTGAATTAATATTCTAATAAATTAAATAATACAATTCATAGATTCAAGTTTTGATAATTTATTAATCATAAGAAGTTGTGATTGTAAGATACAGATTACATATGAATGAGATACAGATATCGTTATTACGCATAAGCTATCACGTGTGACACTTCTTACTTGTGAAATAAGTAACTAATCTCACAAGCTAAAGTGTGATAACACTGCAATGAACACGTGAATATTTTATTATAGAACAAAACATTGGAGACTGATTGTGAAGATTCTACATGGATAACTATTTGAATGTCAGTGATTAATCTTTAACATTCAGTGTTAGAATTGATCATACGACTTGAGATCATCATAATGCTTTATATGTGGACAGTCATAATTTGGTTATATTTGATGTTGCTTGTCAACGGTTGCTAATACGAAATCGTTCGGGTATGTTAAAAATCATATGAAGGTTGTGAATGACAAATGGAGAATTCGTCACTCTTAGATAGTAAGAGATTATAATTTACATTTCATTCGGTTAAATTGATAATGAAATCTTTGGACAAGATGTGCTCATGAGTCGAAAAATGTTTTCGGCTTGTATTGACTAAGTGTGGGATAAAGGATATGATCGATAATCGACATTGACACTCTTTCGTATCTCGTAATTGATCGAATAATATTGACGAATGGATTATAATTTTACAGTAAACAAACAAGTTTGATTTTGTCATACCAGGTGACATTTTCCGTCACATGTATTGTTCTGACACATTGCTAAATGTCAATTTAGGACGGAGAATGTGAATTGGTGATAAATTAAAAATGAGTATTTTAATTTATCTATTTTGATTAGATCAAAATAATAATTTACGCCGTTAGGTATCGTAATCGAGGACCTAATGGGATACACACGAAAGAAGAATTAGAAGAATAAGATTCATCTATTAATTAATTAACAAGTGTTAGGCAATTAATTAATTAAATTGTTTGTTAAGAGGCCCATATTAATTAATTCATGAATCATGTTAAGTTTAAGAGACGGACTGAGCTCACTTGAGTTTTATTAATAGGCCGCTATGGCTTGAAAAATCATAAGATAACACAATTATTTTAATATCTAGCACAAGAAAAGTAAAATTCTAATTCTCTCGATCTTATTCCCTGTGTGAATTTCCATTGGAGATGGACAATTAGACAGCTGTGGATTACAGATTAGAATTATTCTTCAAGAAATTCATCATAGGCATAATTTTCTCACAGTTTCTATCAAAACACAAAACAGATCCTAGGTGGAAATTGAAATTTATTTTATTTTTTATTGTGTGTGATTAAGTAAATTCCTAATAGTGATATCAGAGCATACTTTGTTTTTGTTAGAAATTATTTTTAGTATCTTGGAACAATCAAAAAGTATTGTATCAATTGGGGCTGCACAAAAATTTCGTGTCATTCTATGTAGTACGAGAAACATGTGTATGCCAGAAAAGCCCTTTGTTCGTCAGCGAATTTTTATGTGAAATTTGACAGAACATTCTTGATCACATTGACGATAATTTTACCCAGAAACCATAGATATTCGGGGATCATGTACTTCCATTCCTACAACACATTACATAAAGTGCAAACATATGTCAAATACATTGTACTTGTACACACAATCATTTAACTAAAAACATATTATACTATTTAAGACCTAGGTCAAAACATGTCACAATCTCAACATAGTTTGTAAAATTGGACACAATCTCTTCACAATCCATGCATTCCAGTCAACAAAATTGGTCACATTCAACATTCTAATTAATTAATTGATTGATTTGATTAAAGGATGATTATGGACTCGACCATGTGGATGTGTTAAATGATTAGTTTTACTCTTGCTGTTTATGGGCCGCGAGCTCGTATCTATTTTAAACTTGCGAGTTTGTTGTAATTATTATGGGCATGCATGTCCATTCATTTTAGTCTGCATGCCAACTAGTATATGATATATGTTGCAGCTGGATTAATTGAAGATGTAAGAAGAAGAGGAGACCATAGAGATAGAGTATTGTATGATTCAATATTACATCTCATAGAAACTGATCAACTAGTTATTCTTATGGCTCGGGAAGACTAGATAGTTAA